CAATCTTTTCCCTGGTATTATTGAAGGAAACGATTTGATATTTGGTCTGCAGCTTGGTAAGTCGAATTGTAGCGAGTAACAAATTTTAACGTCCTGTTGCCGATAGTTTGAAATAAAATAGCAAGTCATTGTTCTTCTTTTTCTTTGTTTTGAGGTTTATGACCCCTTCTGTAACCCTGTGTATTGCGGTATTTACAAAGTGCAATACTATAAAACAAAAGCTAGATTCTCAATGATAGTAATGTGCCATTTTGTACATATACCAAAGGAAAACTTTGTTCAAAGCAATATCATTGACTTTGTTATTGCATGTAAAAAAATAGGATTTTGTGGCCAATAAATCAAAGACTTTTGCAGAAAATCAACAGATTTTGAAACTGAGATGATTTGTTTTAAAATCTTGAATATAGATTAATCATTCGCTTGTTAATGATGTGCTAGTGTTTATTGATTACAAAGAGCCCTATCATCATTTGCATTCTGAAAAATGTCGTACATGTTTCATTAATCAACTGTATGCAGCGACACATGTCAAGAGCCGTTATTGGTCTTGTTTACAAGGAATGAGCAAGTGTTTTTAATCATTTCAATTCAGGGTCATTTATGTTTATATAGATATAAGAAGATGTGGTATGAGTTCCAATGAGACAACTCTCCATCCAAGACAAAATTTATAAAAGTAAACCATTATGGGTCACAGTACGGTCTTCAACACGGAGCCTTGGCTCACACCGAACAGTAAGCTATAAAGGGCCCCAAAAAATTACTAGTGTAAAACCATTCAAACGGGAAAACCAACGGTCTAATCTATATAAAAAACGAGAAACGAGAAACACTTATGAACCACATCAACAAACGACAACTACTGAACATCAGATTCCTGACTTAGGACAGATGCAAACAAATGCAGCGGGTTTAAACGTTTTAATGGTACCAAACCTTCACCCTTTTTCTGAAACAATAGTGTAACATCACAACATAGAAAGACACACTATAAAATATCAACTGAAATAGCTTAACTCAATCAAAGGACATATTAACACCATTGAACATACACTGAACAAATAAATTTGACCTATGACACAATGTAAATACAAAATAAATAAACTAAGGGAAGAATAATAAAAGCAACATGTTATATCGGTAAGAAATGTTAAACAATTAAAGAAAAACAATATGCTCGAATTAAAATACCATCCATTTGCAATAACTTTAAACACAGGTAAATGAAAATAATTTTGTTGTTAGGTATACCTGTACAATACCAATAGAGAAAGGAAATATGCTTATTTATACATGTATGCAGTATGGTCATCCCTTTTACCGATCATTATCAATTAAAATCTCCACAGACCTAATTGGTATCATTTACATCAGACACATTTTCTTGAATTTTAATAATGAATATTTGGGTTATATCACAGATGCAGGTCTACATGTAGGTGGTGTCATAGTTAAAAATGAATGATAAAAAAACGAATACACATAAATAGCAGTAAAAAAAAACTTTGCAACATGAACACAATAAAACAAAGGGAATTATCTTACAAAATATAGGTACATCAGAAGGATAAAGCCATTTAATGAATTACTAAAGAGTAGCAACACATATTTATTTCAGCTTCATAAAAAAAGAGAAATATGAGATAGACACTGTTAAAAAACACAAAACTAAATAAAATCGCAATATGTGTTTCGTTCAAAGCTTAATCAGTTTTAATATAGTGAGGCAGTAGCAATATGAAAACAGAGAGCATTTGTTGTAACTGCAATTTATCAAAAACGCAATATGAATCGAACAAAAGCCTTTTACAATAAAAGATCTCGTTCAGTGATTACATATTCAAGGACAAAACTTTAAATCGTCTATACAAACAATTGTCTAAATTCTTCCGAAGGATAATTATTTTGATGATAAGAAAATTTTAAACTCTTTTTTTTTAAATTAAGGACATAATTTTACAAATCTATTCACTATTTAATTAATATAAACTTTTTAAAAATAATTGCAATATTTGTATTGTAATGTTTAGTATAGTTGGATTTCCTGAAGTAAAACAAAACCTTTTTGGTATAGTAATGGGTTGTTGTCGCTGCTGATAATTTAAACATATTTATTTATACTGGATTGTGGAACAAGTTAATGCAACTTATATTAATCGCTTTCCACTTTGCGGGTACGAGTGCTGCCTTGTAGCGGCATTAGCCTGCTCTTTTTCGAAATCTACAAGGGTGTCTTTTACGTGCAAGAGATATGGCTCTCTCTTAACACGGGTCAGCCATTTATCGTACCCTTCCGAAAGGACTATCATCGTTTCCTCAAGACCATACTCGCAAACGGTGTCAAGGGAGAGCCGAAAATTCAGTCCCTGAAATTTTCTCCCCGGAACGGGGATGGAACCAGAAACCTTTTTGTTAGTAGTCCGATTCACTAACCACTACACCGCGGCCCTCTATACGGGATCACGGGTCGCTGCTGATGAACTAATAGTCCCCGGGAGTACCATCAGCTCAGTAGTAAGTATATAAAATTATAAAGAAAAATCCAGCTTACTCAGTCAAAGTTGACATGATATGGATTTAATAATAGCACAAATTTCATGTTTGGTAATAATGCCCTCAACTCGTTTCTGTTCTTATACAACCTTGGGTTTCAACCAATTGATTTCGAGTAATACCGACGAGGATGCATTATAATCCTTAAGGGTTGTTTTCATTTTGAAGGTAGAGGCAAGTTTAGTTACCGCTTATATATAAATATATATATATTTCGACCTGTTAGTCAAATGCGTTTTGTTAAAATATACTTTTTCACTTTTTTGGTCTTTTGGAAAATGTTGTTTGTGCTGTATTTAGACCCCTCTATCAAGACATTTGTTTTGCATGCACACGTATAAAAATTGCGGTTTTTATCCAACGCAATCATAGGTTTGAACGTCGTTTTCAATTTAGACTTGTTTATATTTTTTCGTTTGGGCTTGTATTATATTTTCCTTCGGGTTTATATGATCCGTTCATCCTATTTCGACTCTTTAAAATTCAAGAGTCTATCCTAAATTGAGGTAAATTTTATGGCCTTCCAAATACTGTTTCGACGCCGAACATCACTGAAGTGACATTAATTGTCGAAATCCGGATATGGTGTACTAATTTTTGCACCTTTTGTTTGCGGTATACCATCTTTTCCGCAAGTTTATTGTTTTCTGTTTGGTATTAGATATTAATTTTTAAAGATCCATTTTGTTACATCTTGTGATCCGTTTATTTGGCAATCGCCAATGGCAGTCAACAGGGTTAAAGAACATCAGTTGTTCGACCTGTTAGTCAAATGCGTTTTGTTAAAATATACTTTTTCACTTTTTTGGTCTTTTGGAAAATGTTGTTTGTGCTGTATTTAGACCCCTCTACCAAGACATTTGTTTTGCATGCACACGTATAAAAATTGCGGTTTTTATCCAACGCAATCATAGGTTTGAACGTCGTTTTCAATTTAGACTTGTTTATATTTTTTCGTTTGGGCTTGTATTATATTTTCCTTCGGGGTTATATGATCCGTTCATCCTATTTCGACTCTTTAAAATTCAAGAGTCTATCCTAAATTGAGGTAAATTTTATAGCCTTCCAAATACTGTTTCGATCCCTAACATCACTGAAGAGACATTAATTGTCGAAATCCGGATATGGTGTACTAATTTTTGCACCTTTTGTTTGCGGTATACCATCTTTTCCGCAAGTTTATTGTTTTCTGTTTGGTATTAGATATTAATTTTTAAAGATCCATTTTGTTACATCTTGTGATCCGTTTATTTGGCAATCGCCAATGGCAGTCAACAGGGTTAAAGAACATCAGTTGTTCGACCTGTTAGTCAAATGCGTTTTGTTAAAATATACTTTTTCACTTTTTTGGTCTTTTGGAAAATGTTGTTTGTGCTGTATTTAGACCCCTCTACCAAGACATTTGTTTTGCATGCACACGTATAAAAATTGCGGTTTTTATTCAACGCAATCATAGGTTTGAACGTCGTTTTCAATTTAGACTTGTTTATATTTTTTCGTTTGGGCTTGTATTATATTTTCCTTCGGGTTTATATGATCCGTTCATCCTATTTCGACTCTTTAAAATTCAAGAGTCTATCCTAAATTGAGGTAAATTTTGTGGCCTTCCAAATACTGTTTCGACCCCTAACATCACTGAAGAGACATTAATTGTCGAAATCCGGATATGGTGTACTAATTTTTGCACCTTTTGTTTGCGGTATACCATCTTTTCCGCAAGTTTATTGTTTTCTGTTTGGTATTAGATATTAATTTTTAAAGATCCATTTTGTTACATCTTGTGATCCGTTTATTTGGCAATCGCCAATGGCAGTCAACAGGGTTAAAGAACATCAGTTGTTCGACCTGTTTGTCAAATGCCTTTTGTTAAAATATACTTTTTCACTTTTTTGGTCTTTTGGAAAATGTTGTTTGTGCTGTATTTAGACCCCTCTACCAAGACATTTGTTTTGCATGCACACGTATAAAAATTGCGGTTTTTATCCAACTCAATCATAGGTTTGAACGTCGTTTTCAATTTAGACTTGTATATATATATATATATATATATAGATCAGATTTAACTTATGCCTTCACGAAAATAACAATGATAGTTAATGTAAGTTTTTGAATTAATTCTATAAGTGAACAACCACCAGTAAATTACATATAGCCCATTATATGAGATAGACACTGTTAAAATAACACAAAACTAAGTAAAATCGCAATATGGGTTTCGTCTAAAGCTTAATCAATTTTAATATAGAGAGGCAGCAGCAATATGCAAACAGAGAGCATTTGTTGTAACTACAATTTATTGCAGGAAGGAAAACATGTAATGTACAATGTATCTCATCCGATAGAATAGATGAAACAGGATGACAATAACATGCATAGTGCATTCATGAACAAGTTGTTTTGACGTTCATATCATAAGCTGATAAGAACATAATACTAGTTCTTACCTTAATGTCTTACAGTTTTGTCTTGATCACATTATTTATCCGTGTATTTAAATAACGAAAACGAAATCAAGGCGAACCTTTTATATATTAATATAAAAAACACGTGATCTTCTTTTCCTTTTGAAACATTTTATTTAGGTATTTTTAACCGATATTTGAGTTAAAAACGCAATATGAATCGAACAAAAGCCTTTTACAATAAAAGATCTCGTTCAGTGATTACATATTCAAGGACAAAAATTTAAATCGTCTATACAAAAAATTGTCTAAATTCTACCGAAGGATAATTATTTTGATGATAAGAAAATTTTATACTCTTTTTTTTTAAATTGAGGACATAATTTTACAAATCTATCCACTATTTAGTTAATATACATTTTTTAAAAATAATTGCAATATTTGTATTGTAATATTTAGTAAAGTCGGATTTCCTGAAGTAAAACAAAAATCCAAAAGGTTTTTTTTTCATTTTCAAGGTAGAGGCAAGTCTAGTTACCGCTTGAATGCGTTCGTCCTTCCATCGGAAAGACATTTGACAGAAAGTTTTTCTCAATTTTTCTTTTCTTGGATACCTTATAGATGAAAAAAAAAAGTATGTTTATCTTAATTGCAGCCTTATTTCAAGTTCATGTACTTTCCCCATAGTCAACATGGCAACGTTTAATTGTATTTTAACGGCGTTTTGTTGCTACAGTATATTATCGGCGTGTCGCTTTTGATTTTAGTAATGTATTTAGTCCGGAAAAAAGGATGACTTGAAAACAGTTGTCTGGTGACAAACGAAACCTTATGAAATATCTTCTGTTTTGTTCGTAGATCGTAAAAAGATATGATATGTCAATTGATGAACTAATATCTAATAACAAAACATGTTCCGTAAACTTATCTACTTAAAAGTTTTTACATACATCACGCAAATCATTCACTTCAACTTTATTGTTTATATTTTCTATAGTAAAATTGTTTGTTCATATTCACCTTGTTGACTGAATTGAAGATCTATAAATATTTTTACACGCAGGTACAAAGCAATCAAGGAACAAAATCGTGAATGTTATTGTCTTGATTGTTGTAATGACTGTCAAGTATGTCAGGACACAAATTTGTTTTAAATTCGGATTTACAAAAAAGGTATGTAAAGATATGGTTTTGTAAAACGTGTAAACGTTTATGATATATGCAGTAAACAAGAATTCTACACAACAAAAACTTGTCGTCGTTAAATACTTTTTTTTAGTTCATTAAATCTGACTGACATCAACTCATCAACAAAACCTCTAGGCTACAAATGGGATGTCATGAAGATGTATATTCGCTCTCTCTCTCTCTCTCTCTCTCTCTCTCCCAATATATATATATATATATATATATAATTTATTTGGCAATCGCCAATGGCAGTCAGCAGGGTTTAAGAACATCAGTTGTTCGATCTGTTAGTCAAATGCGTTTTGCTAAAATAGACTTTTTCACTTTTTTTGGTCTTTTGGACATTGTTGTTTGTGCTGTATTTAGACCCCTCTACTACGAAATTTGTTTTACATGCACACGTATAAAAATTGCGGTTTTTATCCAACGCCATCATAGGTTTGAACGTTGTTTTCAATTAAGACTTTTATATATTTTTTCGTTTGGGCTTGTATTACATTTTCCTTCGGGTTTATATGATCCGTTCATCCTATTTCGACTCTTTAAAATTCAAGAGTCTTTCCTAAATTGAGGTAAATTATATGGCCTTCCAAATACCGTTTTGATCCCTAACATCACTGAAGAGACATAAATTGTCGAAATCCGGATATGGTGTACAAATTTTTGCACCTCATGTTTGTGGTATACCATCTTTTCCACAAGTTTATTGTTTTCTGTTTGGTATTTAATTAATATTAAGATCCATTTTGTAAGATCTGGTGATCATTTTATTTGGCAATCGCCAATGGCAGTCAGCAGGGTTTAAGAACATCAGTTGTTCGACCTGTTAGTCAAATGTGTTTTGCTAAAATAGACTTTTTCACTTTTTTTGGTCTTTTGGACATTGTTGTTTGTGCTGTATTTAGACCCCTCTACTACGAAATTTGTTTTACATGCACACGTATAAAAATTGCGGTTTTTATCCAACGCAATCATAGGTTTGAACGTTGTTTTCAATTAAGACTTTTATATATATATATATATATATATATATATATATACAAAATGACTGAATAATAGCCAACGATAAATCTTACGGGGCGATGGATCATATAAATATGATACAGTACACTACACAATATAATATATAACCAGTCTGAAAGGGTACATCACCAAAAAAATGACAATAAACGAACAAATGTAACTGTAGTACCTCGGGGTAGGGTCGGTGGTGCTCCACTGGCGGAGGAGACAGATCCTGAAGACAGAGAACCTCGTTCCGGATCTGTCAATCGAAAACTGGAATCTGAAGCAACGCACTGCACGCCTTGAAGTCCAGCCGATTCCATAATCGTTAAGAAGCGTATAGATAATAAGTTATAGTCAAGGTAAGTTGGTAAAAAGCTTACATTGGCGCTGCGAGCATTTTTCGTACTAATTCACTCGGGGGAGTTGAATTCTTAAGCGAAGAATACTTCAAAAAAAGGGCCCAAACAGCACCTCTATTTTGTTTTTAGGGGATCCCTGACAGGTCACCTATTTCTAGTTTTTGGCTACCCACGGTTTCGCTGGTCTAGTCAATTCGGGAGGGAAAATCAAAGCACAGGGAAGGGAAAACTTTTGTGATTCAGTTTCAGTCACGGATTTGTAATTTTAGGGATTTTTCACACTTGACCGTCTGCGGAGCCCTTGTAGGGAATTGTGTGAACCCCATATTTGTTCTGAAAAACCCTTGTAGGGAATTGTGTAACCCCTGAATCCAATTCAGCCGCGCATTGCACTACGTGTTTTTCAACAGTGCAGCAGCAGTTATAAAAGAAAAAAAAAAGGATAAAAATTGTAAGTGTCTAACTTTCAAACATTACACACATACACTTAATTCCCATTTGCATAAAAATACCTCTGGGGTCAACTTATAAGCTTGATCCCCAGTTATAAAACTTGTTGTTATAAACAATACCAAATAAAAAGGCCCTTCAGTAGAGACACTGGTACAAGCCCAATTTTAAATAGTTCATTCCATAGTTGTATTACGTGTGACCATGGCTAGAGTGCATGTAAACTCAGCTACTTTTGAGGAATTGTTATCAATTCCAGGGGTTGGGGCAAAAATAGCAGCAAAGATTTGGGAATTGAGGGATGATAAGGGTATCCTAGAGTTGGAGGATCTCCGGTATGTCCAATATATGAGAATTACGGAAGCAGCCATGGATACCATGGATTTTAGTACCTCCTTGCCATCCAACAGGGGGGCTGACAAATTTTGCAAGGAGGAGATAGGGCACCAAGAAAAAGTTCAACGTATTAATAATCTAATACAGGCACGCCGCAGGGGCCACACCACCCATGACTACCCCACCCCAGCAGGAGAAACGCCAAGGGCAAGGGCGGCTAGGTCACCTTCCCCCTCCCAGCACATAAACTGGCAAGATGGTGGGGAACTTAACCGGGGGTTCAGGGAAGACGGGGTCTACCAGGACAGAGGGGACAAGCCCATGCCTCAGTATGGGAATACCAGAGACTACCGGTATGAGGAAACACCTCGATCCCGGTATAGCAATGCAGGGAGCACAGGCAGGGAAAAGGGGGGGGGGGGGGGGTTGGGGCTTAGCTAACCGGTATACCGATAGTGAGGGCCCAAGGTTTAGAGACGCCCATATCGAAAATGAGGCCCCAGTGACGAGACAGGCCAGTAGTATGGGGTACCCAGGGGCAGCAAGACTGGAAACTTGGGACTAAAGGAGTTCTCGTAGGGATGCATATGACCACCAGGAGGCTATGGCGGGGTCGGATACCCAGAGATTGCAAGACAGGCTAAGGGGGCCAACTGGGGGCAAACCACCAATCCTACAAAAGAGTCTCAAGTACGATGGGAAGACTAATTGGGTTCTCGCGATTGTGCCAGGTCAGTGGATGGTCTCAAGGGGAGTGCAAGGACCAATCGTGCTGGTCCTTAGATGGAAAGCCTACTGAGTTTCATGCCTTGCTGGTGAAAAGAAGGCATGATTTGTCCTACGAGGATTTAGTGAGTAAGTTGGCCAAACGGTTTGGGTTCAATGAGTTGCCAGAAACCGCTCAGGTTCAATTTAACATTGCCAGGCAAGGGGGGACGAAACCCTAGAGGACAGGGCCGACAGAGTCCTATTCCTCGCCATAAAAGCCTTTCGCCACCTGCCAGAGGATCACATGTACCAACAGGCGGTCATGAGATTGTGCCAGGGGGCCTCAGACAAGGAGGGAGGAAAGTTGGCCTCCAATGCTAAACCCAAGAGTATTGAAGAGGCGGTGGACAAAATCAGGTGGCATCAACATAACCACCAAGCCATATATGGCCGTGCCGCCAGAAAGGAGGTTAAAAGTGTCAGCCCTGATACCAGAGGTAAGGGTGGGGACAATTATACCATATGCTCCACCACGAGGTCCGAAGCCATTAGTTCAACCCCCCCAAGGATGTTCAGGAGTTTAATGCTTTCAAAGGGGAGGTAACAGGAACCCTGGGGAACATTATGTCGGAGATCCAAAAGTTGTCCTTCGCAGTGCGGAACAATGCAAGGCCAGCATCGCGGAGTCCCTCCCCTAGGCCTGCCAATGGTGGCTGTTTTCACTGTGGTGAAGTAGGTCATTTTAAAAGGGAATGCCCTAAATATCAGAGATCTAGTTCTCCTAGACCAGGGGGCAAGAAAGTAACTTTCCAGGACAACAAGGGTCCGTTAAACCCCAACGGGTCGACTCAAGAGGTCTGAGTCTGGCCCCTAAACCAATGAATTTAAAGGACCTCGTAATAAGCCACAAACCACCCCTCCCGTCATACCTTAATAGGGAGGGTACCATAAGTCAGATCGGAATGGCCCATGGGGACCAATTGGCCCTCCTAGAGGGGTCTTCTTTTAAGGAAGTCACTGATTTTCAGAGACTGCCAAAACAGGACATAATTGTCGAACAATCCCCTCCACAAGAACCAGGGTAGAGAAATTCACT